AGTGGGGCATACCTCCCCCATCTGGGCAGGATAATGGCCCTTTTGAGATCTACAAAATCCAGAATTCAAGTGAGTTTCTGATGTGGGTCATAGGATAGGAACTAACTTGAGATTCTAAGGCTGTGTATGGGTTCACAGGAGTTGTGGATCATTGCAATTCACTCATTCATTGCCCTACAAGCAATGTTTCTCGAAATGTGGTCCAAGGCCAACTGACTACCCTCAAAAGACTAGCTTTTCTCAGGAAATTAATTGCATAGGTTTTTACTTTTAAACATGACCAAAAGTTACTAAGTTATTAAGAATCACTGCCATTTTCCATTGTTCTGTGTCCACAGTTTAAAATCTGGTGCCACAAAGTCGGGGGCTATGCTGCAACATCCAACACAGAAAGAAGGAAATTCTACAACTTTTCAGAATGACAATTTATTTCTAGTGCCTCAGCAGTCAGAGTTTTCCAAAGCTGCTATTCCTGTGCTCATTAACATAAATGTACAATTATTCTTAGGCTTTCCTTTTGTTAATCATTTCTTTTACTTGTGATTGCTTCAATGTTACCACTTTGATACTTATTTTGTTTTTCTCCAATTTTTTCCTATCACCGGGTTCTTTTACTGCTGAACAAGAGAAGGGGAGGAGGGTTTGAGGGATTTGTCTTATTCTAGCTAAGAAGTTCAAAAACTATTGCCCTAAGAGGAGCAGAGTGCGGGACCCTACCCAGAGAAGCAGCGACACCAGAGATGAAGGCAGAGGTGATGACATGGAGAAATAGAGCAGCTGGGGACTCTGGACTCAGGGAAAGAGAGGGGCTGTGTGCTGGCAGCTAGGGGGCAGGCTTGTGGTTGTTTGATGATGCATGGAGGGGATTGTAATCATTGCAATGAAATGAAATATGATAGGCTGAATATAAAGATAATGTTCTCCCGTGTAAACTATCACATAATTCACAATAAAAACTTAAAAAAAAAACAAACAAAACAAAAAACTATTGCTCTAGAATTGTTGGGCCTCACCAGGCTGCTCTGTTAATGGTGTCCTGGACAGTCCATGTATCCAGAGGCTATCTCTGAATCTCTGTTTAAATGTTCCTTTTCCACCTGCTCCTTGACATTGTCCTGGACTCCAAATCATTTTGAATTCTCCCTCCTGTAGGTCAAAACACTTCTCTCTATTGCCTACTTATTGTTGTTGTTGTTGTTATGTGCCGTGGAGTCGGTTCCGACTCATAGCGACCCTGTACAGGGTTTCCGAGGCTGTAAATCTTTACGGGAGGGAGCAGAAAGCCTCATCTTTCTCCCGCAAAACAGCTGGTAGCTTCGAACTGCTGACCTTGCGGCTCGCAGCCCAATTCGTAACCACTACGCTACCAGATTGTTGTTGTTAAGTACCGAGGAGTCGGTTCCGACTCATAGTGACCCTGTACAGGGTTTCCAAGACTATAAATCTTTATGGGAGTAGAACACCTCATCTTTCTCGCTACCAGATTAGTGGATCATAAATGGCCATGTGGTACCTCAAGTCAGTGAGGTGCTGCCTGATTCCTGACAATTTATTGACCTTTAGAAGTTTTCATTTGATCTTTCCATCAAGACTTTATGTGTATATATAAATATATATGATTGATAAAAAAAAAAGTTTTAATTTTCCAAGGGTTCCTTCCTGGGCACCTGTGTTCTGACCTGAAAGTTGGGAGGGAACAGAAATGGACACATGGTCTGTTTAGATACTAGTCTTGAGCAGTTCTCCAAGTTTCCTTGGCCCTTATACAAGAAGTCTGAGGTGACAGGCGCTAGAGATACAACTAGCAAACTGACAGTGCATTCTGATGGTGAACATGGGGGATTCCAGCTAATGCAGCAAACAAGCAGGCATGCGAGTGTCGAAAGATGCCAGATTTTCTGATTTAACTTATGGTCCTGCTTCTTCATCTGCTTCCTGGACTTGTTTAAATCACATCCTGACCACCTCGTATCACAGCCAGAAGAATGCTGTATGTAAGTTATATGGCTGAATACCTGGCTATTCCCTGCCCATGCCTGTTCCAGTCTGGACTTGGAGCCCTGTTTGAGATACTCACTCTCATGTCACTTGGTTTTGACTCAAAATATGCTGTTTCTTTGATGCTTGGCCCTGGCTCCTAATTGGGCCCAGATCCGAACTCAGATTCCAGGTAAAATGAGGCATTGACCTCAGTTGTAAGGAGACACTGCTCTGTCTTATATGTCTAAACAGCACTGTGATAATTATCGCCTGGATTTTAAACCTTGGGTCCCATGGTTTTTACAGTGATTGGGACTTATTCATCCACTCCTCAAAGCAACAAAACAATAACCTATTCGATCAAACAAAACATGGTGAGGGTGGTAATGAAGTGGCAGTCCAAGGAAAGAGGAACTCAACCCCACAGTGAGATGTTAAATGATGATGGGTCCCAGGAATTCACTGCTGATGAGTCCATTGAGTCTCTCAGTGTTAAGAAGTGTTATCCCTGTGACCACAAGCCATAATCATGGAAATCTTGAAGTCTCGAACATATTTGCAGGAGAGGAACGGATGAGTCAAAAGTAAACTAGCTTAATACCTCTTTTACAAAAGGAAAATATCAGTCCTTGTCTTAAAACAATGACTGTACTCATTCGGAATTACCCTGACAACGTTTTCACATTCTTGTAATAATAAGAACAAATAGGTCTCTCAGGGTGGTTTTTCATTATTAGAATTTGTTCAGGAAAGAGAATCATTAAAGTCTTGTTTGAGAAAATGAAGTAATAAAACTTTGTTCTGGATACTCTGGTACATTTTTAATGTTTTATCAAGTTGGTATTGTTCCCTGTAACCATAGATCCAAGGCTACTGAATCAACTTCACTGCTAAATAACACGCAGGATTCTCTCTGAGCTAATTTTAAAACAGCCTTCCTTTGAATCTTCAAAATCAAGTTCTTTTGAAATTGGAACCAGGGTTAAATTTAGGTAGACACGGATTTCATAAAAGCAAAGCCCTTTAAAGTTCACATTAAAAATTCATGTGCCTAACTGAATGGCCTTGGTTGCGTGGTGACAATAAATATTACAAAAAGTTCATTTCCCTTCTCTGGGCTTTCTAACAAGAAAGTTCTGCAGCTTCATCTCAGGCATATTGCAATATTTAATCTCAGCTTGGCAACACAAGAAGGACTGAGGATAATGATAATTAAGCATCAGTTTATGTCATAAATAATGACAAGTGCAGGTAGCTATGCTTCAGGTCAGTTCCCCTTCATGTCACTTGGTACCCATCAAAGTCCCTGGAATTCATTCTATGGCCACAGAACCCACTGGTTTATCCTTGCTCCTTTACTCTTTTATGTAACTGTGCTGAAAACACTAGATACTGTTCTTTTATTTTAATTTGAAAGGCCTCCTTTCTTTCTCTAGGCTATGAATTGTTTCCAAAGAACTAGCAAATGCACTACCAAGTCAGCATAAGTGTGACACAAATAACATTGCCGGGACAAGGTAGATTGTCTCACAGAACGTTCTGTTCTGGTCTAGGTCTAGAGTAGAAGACACAGCAGGGTCCTATTGCTGTGCTTGCCTCTGCCATCTCCATGGTCAGGAGAGTAAACAACATCAAATGGGAGTGTGTATTAAATCCGGACTGTGGCAATGTGAACACATTGACGCAGTATAACAAGTTCACAGCACAAACTTTGAAGTCACACTCCCTTAGAGCTGCATGATGAATGGGGAAAATGCCCTAGTATCACTAATACGGGAGTGCTAGTGATGCAGTGGTTAAGTGCTCAGCTGTTAACTGAAAAGTCTCTAGGAGGCCCAAACCCTCCTAGAGACTCTCTGGAAGAAAACACCTAGCAATTTGTTCCCATAGAGATCACAGCCTAGGAAATCCTATGGGGCATTTCTACTCCGAATCTACGCAATGGCACACAACAATAACAACATCGCTAAGACTCAGCTCGAGAATGGGGCAATAATTGGGTTATCATGAGGTTAACAAGAAATAATGTATATGATGCTCTTCACACAATACTTAGCCCATGATAAATGCTTAGTAACTGTTGCTAGTGCCTAGCACATAGCAGGTACTCAATAAATAAGAGCTGAATAAGTAAATGAATGAATGGATGGATAATCAACCAGACAAATGCCCGTTTTATATTCCCAGTAGAGATTTCTCACTTCTAGACTTAAGTTCTGCTTCAGAAATGGAACAGACTGTACACGGGGCGGAAGGAGTATGGGGAAGTCAGTAAATTTTGGATAATGAATAGATTTGTTCCTGGGGACCCCTAGGAAAAAGAATGATGACTTGGGCTAAAGTCCATACTCTCCCTGCTGGCACCATTTCCATTCCAGGCCATAGGACCAGGTCTGCAGAAGGAGGACAGGGCTGACCCTCTCCTACCAAACTCCAAAAACAGTCATTGAGTCGATTCAGGCTCATAGCAACCCTACAGGACAGTAGAACTACACCCAGGGGATTGTTACTGAATTGATCCAATAAAAATGACGAGAAGGTTCCAGGTTCTGCCTATTGTGTCTTGTCAGGCACAGCATCAAGCTGGGAGTCTACCCTTGCCTCACCTACACCCTGATCTGCCTTGCATACATCCAACTTCCGCATTTCCAGGCCTGAAGTCCTGGGGGCTCTGCCTCCTTTAAAATTCCAAACCTACTCAGTTCCTGGCTCCTCTGATCCTTGAGCTCAGCAGTAGCTCATCTCTCTTGTGGTATCTGGCATCTGGGTAGAGTAACTGAGGCAAGCCCAAGATCAAAGGCTCCTCATGACTCCTTCCCAAGCGTCTTTGGCAAACATCTTCAAGGGATCTCTAATTGGTATGGAATAAGATAGGCCCAAAGCTCAGATTTACATACCAGAAAAGCTTTGTACCCCAAATATTGATCCTTAATTCCAGGCTCCTCCTGTGGAAGGCTTCCTGAAACCATTTTATAGTGGTTGGTCTTTTTTTGAGACAAAGGAAATATTTTCCCACTTACCTTTTTTCTGTCAACTACTGTTCAGCTTTGGGAACATATTTCAGTTCACTTTTAATATTCTGAATCTCTGATAGGTTGACTGCAGGTCCTGGAAGTTTCTTTGCTCCTGGAATTGGCTTCTTCTCCTCATCCGAGGTAGGAGGAACACCCTGAAGAGAAAAGAGAAGAAATTCAACTCACTGAAGAAGATATTTGGTCTCTTTGGGTCACGGAAATGAAGCAAGAATCAGGTCTGAGTGTGATCCTAGCAGCGCAACTTCCTCTTGTGCTGTCAAAGCAAGCTTGGAGTTCCAGTGAAGCTCGCCTGAGTTTTACAGAGGACTGTGAAATCAAGTTGGGAGAAGAAAACAAGTGACTTCCACACAACTTAGAAAGGCAACAGAGTATTGCTCAGTGTCTGATATGTTATAACTTATAAAAACTAGCACTAGTTAGAAAGGTTTGTGTTTCCAAAAGAAGAAATGCCTAAAAACAAGTTTCATGTGGTATTCTAGGAGCAAAATATGTCTGAACAGTTGGGATTTGTAGAATGTGAGTGCAGGGCAGGCTCTAAGCGTGAATTTAGTCTAGGAGTTTTCCAATTTTTTGTTTGAGGTGCAGGGGCTGAAAGCCTTTGTTACAGTGACATCTTGACATCTTTGGGAAGCATAAATAAACTGAAGCTGATATAAGCAACTGAACTTTGAATATAGACAAGAGAGAAGTCATAACAGAGCAGCTACTGTCTTCCCTTCTGCTTTGGGGAGTGTTTCAAATGTCCTTCAACATGATGGTTTTATGTTTATGTCGCAGCTTTAGGACAGGATCACATCCTGTACTTTTTTGTAGCTCCTCCAATACCTGTTGACTGTTGTTTACCCAATCAATCTCAAGAATGCACCACAGTGACAAATCTATGTCTCTATGAATTCCCGGTGTGGCGCTGTGGGATCAGCACTGGACCTGGAACCATAAGGCCGGCATTTCAAACCTACCAGCTGCTCTTCAGAAACCCTATACAGGGTTGCTGTGAGACAGAACCGACTCAATAGCACTTAACAATAACAACAATGTACATGCACCATATACACAATTATACTAACTATAAAATAATGAGATCAGTTATAATGTGTGGCTCATAAACTCCAAGTCATTGCTTCAGAAGAAAGTTCATTTCCTCATATTTGTTAGAAGCAGGAGGGAAGTATATTCTCTGCTGCTCTGGAAGGCAGGTGATGGAGGAACATTTGGTCACCGTGGCAGCCATGAGAACTCAACACTCAGATCAGTTTACTGCAGGGAGGGGAATTGAATGACAGCCCCAGCCGCTTTGCCCTGAAATCCGTCATCTCCACAGTGAGGTCATGTTTCCCACGTTGCTCAGGCCAATGACTGAGGGCAGTATCTCAGGAAGGCAGGCTGGGAGGATTGGGACTCCTCTGATGAGCAACTGTGGCTCAAGGGCTTCCTGACAGCCTTGAGAATTTTCTCACAACAGCCCAGCAAAGAGTTTCTGCCCAGCCTTCCTGCCTGCCCTTTTCTCCTCCACTTCCTTCCCTTTCTGGAACCTACAGGACAACTTTCCCAGCCCCCTGTGGCTCCGTCTCATTTTTCCTCACTGGTGTTTTTTTTCTCCAGTAAATATCTTCCTGTCTAATCTCATCTTTGAGTCTGCTACTTGGAAGACCCAAACTAAGACAATCACCCATGCAAGAAGATATTGGCAGAGCTCCATCTGCTCAGCCAGGTAAACAAATACAGTTCTGGGGGAAAAGGAACAAAACCCAGCATTTTGCTGCAGGTTCAAGCCCTGTGCCCCACCCAACTGAACTAGGGAGGCTGTAATTGGTCATTAAAGCGGATGCTGTGTTTGAATCCCCAGTTGGCTCCTACGCCTTGTTCTCAACCCAAAGGGGGAAAGGAAGAAAGTGCTTAAGCTTCCCCAAACTCCAGTAAATTACTTGGTACACATGCAGAAATAGCTTTAAATTGCTTGAGAGGGTGAATAGAAATATGAACTATTGCGGTGTTGTTCCTCTATTAAGAGCTAATGGTTTTTCCCATAGTAATCACCTCTGAATCTGGCACAGTGCTGATTAAATAGCAAATGCGTCACCCACATTAAATGACAAAGTAACTTGATGTAGACCATGCCTGTTGTAAAGATCTGGAAAATGTCATTTCCTCAGATCCATGTACAAAGCAATGGGATCAGCTGTTTCCTTATACATGCAATTCGTTCATTTATAAGTATAGATGGAGACACGCAGTCACTAAATGAATAAGCATCCAGCTGGAGGATTGTTGATTCTGAAATGTTCTTTGCAAGGCTTTTGGAAAGAAATTTTTAACAAGGGGTGGATTTTTTGTTGTTGTTTTTGTTTTTAATATATGTAGCAGTGAGATGAAAAATGTTTCCTCACTTACAAATGTTCCCATGGTTGTTAGGTGGGTAGAGCTTAATAAAGAAGCCTAACGGAGAAAAATGTCTCCAATTACTTTTGTTCAGTGTCTTGGTAAGACACATTCACTATCCTATCTTTTAACATGAAAATGTGATATATTGATAAAGTTAACACATAAAGCTAATGTGTCTAGTGCAAAGATTTATTATGTGAGCATACACAAATTAATAATGATAATATTTAATATTAACCACTTGCAAGTTATTAAAAGTTCAATGGACTGTGTTTTATAAATTATTATTTATCATGTAAGATTTCTCACACTTGATTTGGTAAGGTTGCACTAACAGAAAATTATAAGTGGACATATGTAATAATCAGACATGATAGTGACTCAGGAATCTCCTCTCGTCTTTTGAAACAATGGGAACCAGATTTCATTTCTTCTATGAATTCCTTGCTATAAGAATGAAAATGAATTAAAGGCATGACCAATTAGAGTTCCAAATGGTCCCATTTGGCTAAGCACATTCTTTTTGTCTTTCTTAAGAAGATCTTTGAATTGAGAAGGGGATATGGAAGAAATACATTGGTTTAGATAAATAGGGCATGAGAGAAGCCACATACACTACAACATCATATAAACCCAGTTCCAGAATGGCTATTGTGAAATGAAATATTTCCTTTGGGAGTGAAATTTGCAAAATTTGGCAAAATGGTGACCATTTCCCAGCTATTGCTCTTTCATCTCCCTGTTTACTATCAGCTGCCAAATTGAGTTTTCCCCTAAACTCTCCTAATCTGGGGCAGTGCTTTCTGATCTTCTCACCCCTGCTCAAACACTGAAGACAATAATAATAGGAAACAATAACACTGCTTACTGTTCTAAATTATATGCAATGTCCATTTCATCCTCACATCAATCCTGTTGTTGTTAAATGTCATCATCGATTCAGTTCCGACTCTTAGTGACCCTCTATAGGGTTTCCAAGGCTTTTTAAATCTTTGCGGGAGCAGAAAGCCTTATCTTTCTCCTGTGGAGTTCTTGGTGGGCTTAAACCACTAATCTTGTGGTTCACAGTCCCATGATTATCTTACAGAACCATCGCGCTCTCTTGTAATGGAGGAGACAGAAATAAGTAACAAACAATTCTGACATGATATTTGGTGGCTTAATAATGACAGAATTTCAGTCCAAAAGAGAGATCTGATAGTCATGGTAGGGATTTGTCAATACCCCTGAAACCACTTCAAGCAAGCAGCTGCCTGGTCTTATGCAAAAGACAAGCTAGCCCTATTTATAAACATTTGGCTGTAAAACCTGTGTGCCATTGGGTGCACTCCAAACTCTGGCTGGGCCAAGCGGATGGAGGGCGTATTCCAGCTCTGTGAGCACAACAAAAGGCTCATTGGAGACCATAGGTGGGCTGGAGACTCAGCCAGTGAGTATAGACCTTGTCAGACAGCCTGCTGAGCTGCATTCCTTTGATGTCCGAAAGGATTTTGTGATTGAAAAAACCTTCCAAGTTTAGATGGGACACCTACTGACTGATAGAGGTGACCTGTTCTGTTCAGGGATGGTATGTATGCTTTATGCAGGAATTAACATAATAGAAGGCTAGACACCAGATCCCAAATCTCAGAAAGAAAGCAATGTCAACCTTGCAAACTGGATGATAATAAAAAAGTGTGGGTATACAAGTTAATTCTTTGGACTTGTTATCTGGAGGGAAATTATGCTTGGTAAAATAGCTCAGCCAAAAACCAGGAAGACCTTCAACAGGATGGATTGACACAGTGGCTGCAACAATTGGCTCAAGCACAGTGAGAAGGGTGAGGACTGGGCAGGACTGGGCAACACCATAACTTAGAGTCACCAATTCTTCATCAAACTTCCTTATTCATTGTGTAGCTTTCACATTCATATGAGGCCATGGAAAGTGCATCTTAGTCCTGGAAGTGACATCTCTGCTCATTAATACTCTTTAATGCTCTTTCATCTTTTCCAGCAGATTTACCTAATGCAAAGCATATGTCATTGAATTTCTTGATTGCTGCTTCCTTATACATTGATTGTGAAATGCAATTCTTAAAACTTCAGTATTTTCTCCATTTATCAAGATGTGACGTATTGGTCCAGTTGTGAGAATTGTTTTCTTTATGTCGAGGTATAACCCATACTGATGGTGGCATCTTTAGTCTTCCCCAGTAAGTGCTTCAAGTCCTTTTCGCTTTCAGCAAAAAGGATTGTGTCATCTGCATAATGCAGGTGTTTTGGTTTTCTTTTTTTAAAGTTTTTATTGTGAATTGAGTGAAAGTTTACAGGGCAGATCATCAGTTTTACATTAAAAAAATCATATACTTCGTTTCATTACAATGGTTATAATCCCCTCCATGTACCATCAGTATTTCTCTCTATTCATTTTAGCTATTCTTTTTTTAAAACACGCAGGCATATACAATAATTTAAACCACCACAGGACACAGTCTGCATGTCTGCCTCCTGGCTGCCAGCTCTCAGTCCCTCTCTTTCCATGAATCTAGAGTCCTCTGCTGCTCCCTCTCTCTATGTCTCCATCTTTTGCAGGTTTTTAATGAGTCTTCCTCCAGTCCTCATGTGTTCTTATTCATATAGACCAGCTTCTCAGATGATTTGCTCAGTATACAGATGGCTCTGGGGGTTAGTGCGCTGGACTGCAAAGTCGGTTTGAGCCACAAGGTTAGCAGCAGTTCAAACTCACCAGCCTCTCCTTGGAAACCCTATACAGGGTTGCTATGGGTCGGAACTGACTCCATGGCAGTCAACAACAAATACAGATTAAGTAAGTATGATGAAAGGGTACACTCTTGACATACACTTTTCCTGATCTAAACCTCATAGTATCCACTTGTTCTATTCAAATGACTGCCTCTTGATCTATGAGAACAATTAAGTGTTCTGGAATTCTCATTCTCGCAAGCTAGCCATAATTTGTTATCCACACAGTTGAATGCTTTTGCATAGTCAATAAAACACAGGTAAACATCTTTCTGGCAGACTCTCTGCTTTCAGCCAAGATAACAGTGATATCCCTACTTCCATGTTCTCTTCTGAATCCAGCTTGAATTTCTGGCTGTTACCTGGCCATGTACTGCTTCAAACCATTTTTAAATTATCATCAACAAAATTTGGCTTGCATGTTATATTAATGATATTGTTGAATAATTTATGCCTGCTGTTGGATCACCTTTCTTTGGGCACAAACATAGATCTCTTCTAGTCGGTTGATCAGATGCTATCTTCCAAATTTCTTGGCATACACCAATAAGAGCTTCAAAGATGCATACATTTGTTAAAACATCTCAATGGCGTTCTGTCCATTCCTGGATTCTTGCTTTTTGTCAATGCTTTTAGTGTAGTTTGCACTTTCCTTTCCTTTTTTTCCCCCATAACAAACAAAATAATAGACCCAGGAATCCTTCATGAAAGTTGGGTAATTTGATCAATCGACGAACAAGCATCTATTGAACACTTTCAAGTCTATGCCATTTATATCAGGGTCCTCCCTCACAGCCACTCTGTGAACGCAGGGGGGGATGCTACTTTGCAGACATTTAGAAATACTTGATGGCAAAGTTAGCAGCCTTCAAAAAGTTCATGGGAAAATGGAATTAAAAGATAAAGGAAGGAATTTTTCCACAAACTTTTTGAAGCCCCCTGGAATAGCCATAAAACAGAATTGGATCAGGTCTTTTTAACTGGTGTATTCCAATTTTCTGTTCATCAATGGTGGCTTAGGGGGTGAGATTCCAGAATTTGGCTATTTCACTCAAATACTCCATCTCCCCCTTTCAAAAATTATCTTTATGTTTATAGGAGGCTGAAACCATTAATTTAGGACCACATCAGGAATATTTTCTGGGAAAAAAGCTTAGATGCAGGACAGCCAAATTTTACTAGAAAACTTCAAAATGGTGTTAAGTGGTCTTTAGGGGCCAAAAGCAAGATTGCCACCTGCAAAAGTTAAAACACCTTTTAAGAAAGACAAAGTACAGCTTGCCTCTTGTTTTTTTAAATTCCAGTTCCTTTGTATTATGCTAATAAAATACTTTAAAATCTTAATTCCCACACCCATTTGGGAAGAAATATAAACATATGGGGAATGTACTCTTCTTTATATGTTGCAGTAGTTATTAATGTTAGCAAAACTGAGCTCCATTTTAGCAGATCAGTTACTTGAGTTTGAGGGAAATGTTAAGAATTAGAGGGTCTGGGGAGGAGTAGAGAAATGTATGCTTGATAGACTTCCTTACAAAGTCGTATTTCCAAAGGGTCTATCTAGAACTGGAGCTTTTTTGTTGGCATACACAAGTAATCTAGCAGGTTCACTGAGGTTCATCCCTCATCAGAAACTGTGCTAAACACACCCTGCTCAGTGAAATACCAATCTCCAGAGGGAAAACTTCACCAAGCTGCTGATTACTGCTGGACCAAGACATTCAAGAGCTCCCCTCCTCATATAGAGACACACACAAACGAGATGTTAAACTCAGTATCTTCAAGACACTGTGCCAGAGCCTGGGCAAGAAGGGATGGGAAGGTGGGTGGAAGGGAAAGAGGAGCCACAGGGAGGATGGCTGGTGTCTCACAGAGGGGACTGCAATCATTGAGATGAAGCAAAGTGTACAATTTGTTGAATGTAAACTGATGATCTTGTCTGTAAACCTTCACTCAATTCACAATACAAAGTTTTTTAAAAAAAAAAGAAACAGAAAGAACCTGTGCCAGGCATGCAAATTGGGCTCACAGCTGATCGAGTAAGACAATGGAAGAAACGCAGCTTCAAAAAGTTGGGAAAATTCCATTATCTTTTCATTTCATTTCCCATGAACTTTTTGAAGCCCCCTTTGAATCATGGAAGGAGCCCTGGTAGCGTAGTGGGTTACAAGTTGGGCTGCTAACCACAAGGTCAGCAGTTTGACTCTACCAGCCACTCCAAGGGAGAAAGATGAGGCTTTCTGCTCCCGTAAAAATTTACAGCTTCAAAAACCCTACACAGGGTCTCTATGAGTCAGAACTGACTCCACAGCACACCACCACCACCACGACCACCACCACCTATATCGTAGTCCCTTGCTCCCTTCCTTGTCTGGGAAAACTGTTCCACTCTACTCTAGTGAATATTTAAAAGGGAAAACAGTGCTGAGCTCTGCTAACTAAGTTGTCCTCACCTCCTCTGTTTCAGGAGTAAATTCTTTTCTTCTGGGGGGTTGCCCAGCTCCTGGCCGAAAGGCTCCCATTGGAATATTGATATTTGCCTAAAAGAGAAAAAAGGGAAGATTTAAGTCAAGTAAAGAAAGGAATTGTGATGGTACTTTGAGACAGCAATCATTGTGAGGAAAATTGCATCTGAAAATTACATCGCTAAAGCTTTTTCCCACAGGACAAAAATATGTAAAAGAAAATTTGACTTCCATTTATTACATGTTTCTGGTGCCTAGCCTTAGATTTGCATAGTGTATTTAGAATCCCCTAATACTTACTGATGAAGATCAATGACCATAACCTTCAGCATGGATTGCATCTCAATGTAAAGAAAACAAAATTCCTCATCACTGGACCAATAAACAGCATTCTTATCAATGGAGAAAAGATTGAAGTTGTCAAAGACTTCATTTTTCTTGGATCGACCATCAGCACCCATGGAAGCAGCAGTCAAGAAATCAAACAATATTCTAGGCAAATCTGTGCCCAAGACCTTTTTAAAAGTGTTGAAGAGCAAAGATGTCAGCTTGAGGACTAAGGTGCGCCTGACCCAAGCCATGGTATTTTCAATCACCTCATATGCATGTGAAAGCTGGACAGTGAATAAGGAAGACCACAGAAGAATTGATGCATTTGAGTTACGGTGTTGGAAAAGAATAATGAAAGTACCATAGGCTGCCAAAAGAACCAACAGATCTGTGCTGGAAGAAATGCAGCCAGAGTGCTCCTTGGAGGCCAGGATGGCCAGACTTTGTCTCTCATACTTCGGACATATTGTCAGAAGGGACCAGTCGCTGGAGAAGGATATCATGTTTGGTAAGGTGGAGGGTCAGAGAAAAAAGAAAGCCCACCAGAGAGATGGATTGGCCAAGTAGCAGCATCAATGGGCTCAAGTGTGGCAACAATTGTGAGGTTGGTCCAGGACTGGGTAGTGTTTTGTTCTGTGGTGCATAGGATCGCTATGAGTCTACCGACTCAATGGCACCTAACAACAACAACAACATGGAATGAAATGTGGTGCTGTAGGATCAGCACTGGACCCCTAACCCTAAGGTTGATGGTTCAAATCCACTAGCTGTTCCTCAGTGGAGTTGGAATTGGCTCGGCGGCACTTAACAACAACAAACAACAATTGGATGGAAGACAGCTACCTGGCCAACTGACTGGAAGCGATCCATGTTTGTGCCCAGTCCAAAGAAAGGTGACAGACACAACAGAACGTGGGAATTATTAAGCAATATCATTGATATCACACACAAATAAAATTTTGCTGAAGATACTTCAAAAGCAGTTGTGGCAACACATCGACACAGAGCTGCCAAAACTTCAACCCAAATTCAGACGAAGACATGGAACAAGATTTATCATTGCTGACATCAGATGGTTGTTAGCTGACAGCAGAGAATACCAAAAGGATGTTTACTTGTGTTTTATTGACTATACAAAGGCATTTGACTGTATGGATCATAACTATGGATAATATTGCAAAGAATGGTAATACCAGCACACTTAATTGTGCTCATGAAGAGCCTGTACACAGAACAAGAGACAGTCCTTCAAAGAGAATAAGGAAAGAACTACATACATGGTTTAAAATCGGGAAAGCTGCACATCAGAGTTGGATCCTCTCTCTATACTTATTCAATCTGTATGCTGAGCAAATAATCAGAGAAGCTGGACTATATGAAGATGAAAGCGGCACCAGGATTGTAGGAAGGCAGATGACACAACGTTGCTTGCTTAAAGTGAAAAGCATTTGAAGCACTTGCCGATGAAGATCAATGAAAACAGCTTTCAAAATGGATTACAACTCAATGTAAATAAAAATAAAAAACAAAAGTCCTTACAACTGGACCAATAAATAAAATCGTGTTAAATGAAGAAAAGATCAGAATTGTCAAGGATTTAATTTTGCTTGGATCCATAATCAACACTCTTGGAAGCAGCAATCAAGAAATTAACTGACATACTGCATTGGACAAACCTGCTGCAAAAGAGCAAAGATGTCACTTTTGAGAACATCTCATATGCATGTGAAAACTGGACAAAGATTAAGGAAGGCAGAGAAGAACTGATGCATGTTAAATAATGGTGTTGGTTGAAAAATGTTGAAAGTACCATGGGTTGCCAGAAGAACCAACAAATCTGTCTTAGAAGAAGTACTTCATCTCATGTACTCCATAATACGTTGTTGTTAGGAGGAGCCAGTCCCTGGAAAAATGTATCATGCTTGATAAAGTAGAAGGTCAGTGAACAAGAGGAAGGCCCTCCCCCTCCACCACCCCCCAATGAGATGGATTGGCCCAGTGGCAGCATCAATGGGCTCAAACACAGCAACAGTTATGAGAATGGTGCAGGACCAGGTATTGTTTTATTCTGTTGTACATGGAATCACTATGCGTCAGAGCCAACTCGATGGCACCTAACAACAGCATTGCATGGAAGAAGGAACACTGGTGACATAATGGTTAATTGCTAGACTGCTAACTGAAAGGTTGGTGGCTTGAACCTACCAGTCGCTCCATACAAGAAAGATGTGGCAATCTGCTTCCGTATTAGAAATCCTTCGGGGCAGTTCTATTGTGCCCTAGAGAGTTGCTCTGGATATTGAATGGAAGACCTAGAAGACTTTCTTTTGCCTGTTGTTCCCCACCCCCATGATGCTTATTACTGTCCTCTCTCTAGAATGTTGTTGTTAAGTGCTGTTGAGTCGGTTCTGACCCCTAGCAACCCTGTGTAGGGTTTCCAAGGAGCGGCAGGTGAGCTTGAACTGCCAACCTTGTGGTTCAAACCGACTTACTCCTCTCTAGAATGAGGAACACATAATGCTAAGGAAAGTTGGAAAGAGAATTCATAATACCCCATCTACGCGTAAGGCCTTCTTCAGGCTCCTTCATATTTACCAAGCGTAGGGAACTCACACCTCCTAACCCCTCTCCTCCTCCTTCCCATAATGTCCTGTTGCAAAGCAATCCAGTTACTGACTCATAGTAGAACTGCCCCACAGGGTTTCTAAGGCTGTGATCATGGTGTGACGTGGTAGAATAAGCACTGTAGAATAAGCTAACTGAAAAGTCAGTGGTTCAAACCCACCAGTTGTTCCTTGGAAATCCCACAGTGTCGCTATAAGAAAGAATTGACTTGATGGCACTAAACAACAGCAACAAATCTTTATAGGGAACACGGTGTCTCCATATGATAAACACTGGAATTCAAACCACAAGGTCTATGGTTCGAGTCTGCTAGCCATCCCACAGGAGAAAGATAAGGTTCTCTGCTCCCATGAAGATATAAAACTTCAGAAACCCTAGACAGGGTGACTGTGAATGGGAACCGACTCAACAGCACTTAACAACAATAACAACAGTCTTTACAGAAGCAGACTGCCACAAACTGAACCACTAACCTTTCAGTTAGAAGTCAAGTGCTTAACCACTGCACCATCAGGGCAGCTTAACCTCTCATTGCTAAGTGCCATTGAGTTGCTTTCAACTCATAGTGACCCTGAATAGTGTTTCTGAGGAGCAGTTGGTGGGTTTGAACCACCAACCTTGTGGTTAACAGACCAGTGCTTATCCTACAGTGCTGCACAGGACTCCAGCCTCTCATTGTTGCTGTTGTTAAGTACCGTCGAGTCAGTTCTGACTCATAGCGACCCTGTATCAGGATTCCCAGCAGCAGCTGGTGGGTTTGAATTGCTGACTTTGTGGTTCAAAGTCCAGTGCTGATTCTATAGGGCCACACCAGGAGTCCAGCTTCTTGGTAGGTCTCTGTAATGGGCATTCTTCTACCTTCTCCCCAGCCCACGACCCTGCGGGTCAGTGAGTAGGAAAGCGAGTGATAGGAAAGTCAAGTGACCTTTGTATCACCATTCTTCTCATTAAGATAACATACTCATTTCCATCATTGGTAAACATCAAACACTGTCTAACATGAAATATTCTAACCTTCAAATTATATAAGGAATGCTGTTGTTAGGTGGCCTCTAGCTGATTTCCATTCATCCCAACCTCGGGTAACAGAGCAGAACCATCCCACAGAGTTTCCCAGACCGTAATCATATGGTCATCAGGTCTTCTCTCCCTCCGAGTCACTGGGGGGAGGGAGGGGTTCCAACTGCCTAACTTTCTATTAGCAGTTGAGCACTTAACTGTTGTATCAACATGGCTCCTATAATGTAACTTGAACTTGGGGAAGAGAATATGTACATTTGAATTTTGTCCCTATTTGGTTTGAGATAAAAAATATTTAATGCAGACAAAAAATGTCTTCAACCAGTAGTATCACACTCACATAAAACAAGCATCACAAACTTTTTCTCTTAAAGTAAAATATCATTTTTCTCCTTTTAAGTGTTGCTTGGTGAGTAATTCTCTGTGTGGACTTGAAAAGTTGGAATTTCACTTTGATGTTATGCATGAAAATGATGTCTAAGCAAAGGGAACAAAAGATTTTGTTACCTTATGACATAGATTGGATAATTACGGTATCACACCAGAAGAAATAATTAGCAACTTCCTGGTACAAGCTCCATTGCCAGGGGAATATTAATCACAACACAGGAAATGCCCAGTGTCTATGTTCGTGCACAGTCACGCAACATGGCGGGTCTTTGTTCTGGTGCCATCAAAAACAGGAAGCGCCTTTCTCACATAAGGGCTTTACAACTCCCTTCCTACTAAAATAATGCAGATCCCACAGAAAGAAGACAGATCCAAAGCATTTGAGGTAAATAACAAGAGAGCTACCTCACCATTGAATCATTCCTAGGGACAACTAGCTAAGAAGAGTTTTAGATTAGTCGGTATTATACAGACTAGAATATAAGTACAGTACAATTTTAGAGGGAAGTGTTTTGGAAAATCTAAGACTGAGTCTTTTATACTATTCCTCTGCATGGTGGAAATATCAGATGGTCTAGAATGGGAGTGGAGTCCTGCTGTGGCACTGTAGTAATAGCATTGGACTGCTAACCCAAAGGGTGGCAGTTCAAACCTACCAGCTGTTCCTCAGAAACACTACACAGGGTTGCTATCAGTCAAAACTGACTTGA